TTTTAATGTTTATTTTTTTTTTAGAGAAAGACAGAGCATGAGGAGGGGAGGGGCAAAGAGAGAGGGAGACACAGAATCCGAAGCAGCTCCAGACTCTGAGCTGTCAGCACTGAGCCCGATGTGGGGCTGGAACTCCCAACCTGAGAGATCATGATGTGAGCTGAAGTCTGACGCTTAACCGACTAAGCCACCCAGGAGCCACTTAACAGTATTAATTCTTCCAATCCATGAGCATGGGATATGTTTCCATTTATTTTTGTCTTTAATTTCTTTCAGCAATATTTTGTAAGTTTTATTGTACATGTCTTCAATCTCCTTAGTTAACTCCTAAGCATTTCATTCTTTTTTTTTTTTTAAATATATTTTTAATTTATTTCTAGGAGAGAGAGACAGACAGCATGAGCAGGGGAGGGTCAGAGAGAGAGGGAGACACAGACTCTGAAATTGGCTCCAGGCTCTGAGCTGGCAGTCAGCACAGAGCCCGATGCGGGGCTCGAACCCACGAACCGCGAGATCATGACCTAAGCGAAAGTCAGACGCTCAACCGACTAAGCCACCCAGGCGCCCCAGCATTTCATTCTTTTTGATGTTATTGTAAATAGAATTGTGTTCTTTATTTCCTTTTCACATTGTTCATTGTTAATGTACAGAAGCTATGTTGTTGAGATTTTCTTCATTAAAATTATTTAATTTTTTCCATTTTATTTAATCTAAAAAAAAGTTCACCCATTCTTCCCCAGTCCATCTCTAGCAACTAATATTTATTATCTGTAACTATCATATTTTTTAAAGATTACATATAGAGAGATCATATGGTATTTGTCTTCCTCTAACTTATTCCAATTTTCATAATACTCTTGTCATCCACCCATGTTGTCATAAATGGCAAGATTTTGGGGCACCTGAGTAGCATCTGACTTTGGCTGAGGTCATGATCTCACGATTTGGACTCTGCTGACAGCTCAGAATCTGGAGTCTGTTTCAGATTCTGAGTCTTCCTCTCTGCTCCTCCCCTGCTCGCACTCTGTCTCTCTCTCTCAAAAATAAACATTAAAAAATGAAAAAATAAATGGCAAGATTTTATTCTTTTTAATAGCTGAATAATTGTCCATTGTATATATCTATACCATAATTTCTTTATCCATTCATCCATTGATGTATACCTAACATTGTGTCCATGTCTTGACTATTGTAAATGATGCTGCAATAAACATGGGAATGCATGACTTTTCAAGTTAGTATTTTTGTTTTCTTCAAATAAGTATCTAGATGTGGAACTGCTGAATTGTATGGTAGTTCTAATTTTATTTTTTGAGGAGCCTCCATACTGTTTTCTGTAGTGGTTACACCAATTTACATTCCCCTTGACAGTATACAAGGTTCCCTTTTCTCCACATCCTAACCAACACTTTTTACTTCTTATCTTTTTGATAATCACCATGCTAACAGGTGTGAAGTGATGCCTTACTGTGGTTTTGATTTGCATTTCCCTGATGATTCATCATATTGAGCATCTTTTTATGTACCTGTTAGCCATCTGTATGTCTGCTTCATAGAAAATGTCTAGTCACTCTTTAATAGGATTATTTATGGGTTATTTTGTTATAAAATTGTATGAGTTCTTCATTTTTTTGCATATTAGTCCTTTATAAGACAGATAACTTGCAAATATTTTCTTCCATTCAGTAGGCTGTCTTTTCTTTAAAAAAATCTTAAATGTTTTGTTATTTATTTTTGAGAGAGAGAGCAAGGAAGGGGCAGAGAGAGTGGGAGACACAGAATCTGAAGCAGGCCCCCAGCTCTGAGCCGTCAGCACAGAATCTGATGTGGTGCTTGAACTCACAAAATGTGAGATCATGATCTGAGCCAAGTTGGACGCATAACCAACTGAGCCACCCAGGTGCCCCAATAGATTTTTCTTTTCATTTTGTTGACAGTTTCCTTTGCTGTGAGAGAGTTTTTAGTTTGATGTAGTCCCACTTGTTTATTTTTGCTTTTGTTGATTTTGCTTTTGGTGTCAGATTAAAAAATGATTTAAAAATGTATCATTAAGATCCATGTAAAAGAGGTATCTTTTCTTCCAGGAGTTTTACAGTTTCAGGTCTTATGTTCAAGTATTTCATCTATTTTGAGTTAATTCTTGTGAATGGTGTGAGATGGTGGTCCAATTTTCCCAGCACCATTTATTGAAGAGATCGTCCTTTCTCCATTGTATATTATTGGCTCCTTTGTTGTAAACTAATTGACCATATATGTGTGGGTTTATTTCTGGGCTCTCTATCTGTTGCATTGATCTAGATGTCTGTTTTTATGCCAGTACCGTACTGTTTTAATTACTACCACTTCGTAATAAAACTTGAAGTCTGGAATTGTGAAACCTCCAGTCCTGTTTTTCTGTTTCAACACTGTTCTGGTTATTTGAGGTATTTTGTGGTTCTGTACCATTTTTAGGATTGTTTGTTCTAGTTCTGTGAAAAAAATGACATTGCTATTTTGACAGGGAGTGCAGTAAATCTGTTGATTGCTTTGGGTAGTATAGGCATTTTAACAATATGTTTCTTCCAATCCATGAGTATGGAACGTCTTTCCATTTCTTTGCATTATCTTGAATTTCTTCAGAGTACAAGTCTTTCACCTCTCTCGTTAAGTTTATTCCTAGATATTTTACTGTTTTGGGTGCAACTATAAATAGGATTGTTTTCTTTTTTTAAAAAATTTTTTAAATATTTTATTTATTTCTGAGAGAGAGAGAGACAGTGTGAGCAGGTGAGGGTCAGAAAGAGAGGGAGACACAGAACGTGAAACAGGCTCCAGGCTCTGAGCTAGCTGTCAGCACAGAGCCCGATGCGGGGCTCGAACCCACGAACCGTGAGATCATGACCTGAGCTAAAGTTGGACGCTTAACCGACTGAGCCACCCAGGCACACCATCTGTGGGGTTTTCATATAAGGCCTTTATTATGTTGAGATATGTTCCCTCTAAGCCTTCTTTGTTGAGGGTTTCTGTCACAAATGGATGGTGTACTTTGTCAAATGCTTTCTCTGCATCTATTGAAATGATCATATCCTTTCTCTTCTTGATGTGACATACCATGTTGATTGTTTTGCAAATATTGAACGACACTTGCATCCTAAGGAATAAATCCCACTTGATTGTGGTATAGGAGTTTTTAAATGTATTGTTGAATTCAGTTTAATTTTAATGAGGAATTTTGCATTGGTATTTGTAAGAGATATTGGCCTGTAATTCTCTTTTTTGTGTGGTGTCTTTATCTGGTTTTGGTATCAGGGTGATACTGGCCTCATAGAATGAATTTGGAAGTTTCCCTTTCTCTTTTACTTTTTGGAATAGTTTCAGAAGAAAAAACATTAACTCTTCTTTAAATGTTTGGTAGAGTTTGTCTGTGAAGCTGTCTGGTTCTGAACTTTCTATTTTTGGGAATTTTTTGATTATTGATTCAGTTTTATTGCTGGTAATTAGTCTCTTCAAATTATCTATTTCTTCCTGCTTTAGTTTTAGAGGTTACAAGTTTCTAGGAATTTATCCTATTCTTCTAAATTGTCCCATTTTTGGTATATATGTTCATAATATTTTGTTACGATTAGTCTCTCCTTCTTTCTCTAGTGTCTGGCTAGAGGTTTATCAATTTTGTTGATCTTTTCAAAGAACCGGCTCCTGGTTTCATTTTTTGTTTGTTTTTTAGTTTCTATATCATTTATTTCTGCTCTAATCTTTATTATTCCCTTCCTTTTGTTGTGTTTGGGTTTTGTTTGTTCCTTCTTTAGCTCATTTAGGTGTAAGATTAAGTTGTTTGAGATTTTTCTTGCTTCTTCAGGTAGGCCTATATTGTACGAACTTCCCTCTTAGAACCACTTGTGCTGCATCCCAAAGATTTTGGAATGTTGTGTTTTCATTTTCATTTGTTTCCATGTAATTTTAATTTTTTTCTTTAATTTATTGGTTGACCCATTCACTGTTTAATAGCATGTTATTTAAACTCCATGTATTGTGGTCTTTCCATATTTTTTATCTTGTGGTTGATGTCTAGTTTCGTAGCATTGTGGTCAGAAAAGGTGCATGGTATAACTTAGATTCTGCTGTTTTAGGGTAGAATGTTCTTTTTTTTAATTTTTAAAAAAATGTTTTATTTATTTTTTGAGATAGAGACAAAGCATGAGGGAGGAGGGACAGAGAGAGTAGGAGACACAGAATCTGAAGCAGGCTCCAGGCTCTGAGCTAGCTGTCAGCACAGAGCCCAACGCGGGGCTCAAACCCACAAACTGTGAGATCATGACCTGAGCCGAAATCGGACTGAGCCACCCAGGCACCCCTAGGATAGAATGTTCTGAATAAGTCTGTTAAAATCCATCTGGTCCAGTGTGTCATTCAAAGTCATTATTTTCTTGTTGATTTTGTTTGAATCATGTAAGTGAGGTATTATGTCCCCTACTATTATTTTATTACTATAATTTGTTTCCTTTATATTTGTTATTAACTGTTTTATGTATTTGGGTATTTCCATGTTGGGTGCATAAATATTTACAATTGTTATATACCCTCTTGTTAGATTGTCCCCTTTATTAATAAATAGTGTCCTTCTTCATCTCTTGTTACAGTCTTTGTTTTAAAATCTATTTGGTCCAGTATAAGAATTGCTACCCTAGCTTTCTTCTGGCATCCATTTGCATAATGAATGTTTCTCCATCCCCTCACTTTATTAGTATTTTATTCATACATTTGGAGAAGATCTACAGTTTCACAAGAAATATTGTCTTAGAAGAACAAAACAAGTCTCTTCAGCAAGTACTGGGACAATTCAGACTGGAGGAATCAGTGAGGCCAAAGTTACACACAGAAAGTTCAGATTCATCCAGTTTTAGGGATAACACAAAAGTCTTGCTGTCTAGTTCTGTAAGGTTCCAAATGAACCATCTCAGCCTAAAACTAGTAACAAGCTGACAAAGCCTCCAGGGTCCTATCTAGTTTGAACATGGAATGGCTCACTCTCCAGAAGGCTGCATCAATTTACACAACTCATTGAACTGCTGTTGCTCCATCTCTGTTATGACTCTCTGGAGGGCATAGATCTCTGTTCATCTTTGCCTCAGCTCCTAGTGGGCTGATTTCTTCTTGGCCTTCTCAACTTTGCTGACAGGTTGTTTAACTTTGGATTTTTCTTTATGCATAGGTGGAGTCATGAGCCGCTGTGCCTGATTGGGCAGGGCTCCATCCCTTCACTTTCAGTCTGCAGGTGTCTCTCAGTCTGAAACAATTCTCTTGTACACAGCATATAGATGGGTCTCTTTTTTTTTTGGGGGGGGGATCTTTTTTTTTAATCCACTCTGTCACCCTGTGTCTTTTGAATAAAGCATTCAGTGCATTTACATTCAAAGTAATTATTGATAGATATGTATTTATTGGCATTTGTTACTTGCTTCATGGTTGTTTTTGTAACTCTTTGTTCCTTTCTTTGCTCTCTTCTCTCATGATTAGCTGGCTTTTTTTTTTTTTTTTTAGTGATATACTTGGATTCCTTTCTCTTTATTATTTGCATATCTATTACTGGTTTTGGATTCATGGTTATCATTAGGTTTGTGTATAGCACTTCTGTGTATAGCAGTCTGTATTAGTTTGATGGTTGCTTTAGCTTGAACCCATTCTTTACTTCTTTCTCTACCACCTATTAGGTATATGCTGTCATATTTTACATCCTTTTATTTTATGAATCCCTTGACTGATTTTTACAGAAATATTTACTTTTAATGCTTTTGTTTTTTTCACTTTTCATACTCTCACTTATGGTCTTTCCTTTCCAAAGAATCCCCTTTAGTATTTCCTGTAGGGCTTATTTAGTGGTCATGAACTCCTTTAGTTTTTGTTTGTCTGAGAAATTCTCTCTCTCCTTCTATTCTGAATGATAGCCTTGAGGTAGAAGGTATTCTTGACTGAAAAATTTTCCCTTTCAGCTCTTTGAATATGTCATGCCACTCCTTTCTGGCCTGTAATGTTTCTGCTGAAAAATCCACTGATAGCCTTATGGGGTTTCCATTGCATGTAACTGTCTTTTTTTTTGCTTGGTGCTTTAAATTTTTTTGTCACTGCTTTTTTTGTCATTTTAATTACTATATGTCTTGGTGTGGACCTCCTGGGATTGAATTTTTGGGAGATTTCTATGCCTCCTGGATCTGGATCTCTGTTTCCTTTCCCAGATTAGATAAGTTTTCAGCTATTATTTCTTCAGATAAATTTTCTATTCCATTTTCTCTCTGTTCTTCTTCTAAGATCCCTAAATGTTATTACACTTAGAATCACCAAGTTCCATAAGACTATTCTCAATTTGCATAATTTTCTTTCCTCTCCTTTTTTCAAAGTAACCAAGTCCACTGTCTTCCAGGTTGTTAATTCATTCCTCTCCTTCATCTCGCCTGGTATTTATTCCATCAGATATATTTTAAATTTCATTTATTGTGTTCTTGATCTCTGATTGGTTCTTTATCTATGTTAGAGATCTCACTGATGTCCTCTACTATTTTCTCAAATCCAATGAGTATCTTTATGATCATTACTTTAAATTTTCTATCAAGTTATCACATATATCCATTTTGTTTAGGTCTCTTGCTATGGTTTGGTCCTGTTCTTTTATTTGAGACATATTTCTCTGTCTCCTCATTTTGTCTCTCTGTGTCTGTTTTGTGTTTTAGGAGAGTCAGCTACTTGTCTTGCTCTTGATGATATTAGCCTTATGAAGAAAAGGCCTTGTTGTGCCTTGCATTGCAGTGTCCCCGTTCCTCAGGGCCTGACGCTTCAAGGAGTGTCTCCTATGTGTGTTGTGTATGTTCTGCTATTGAATCTTGGCCTCCTTTTTCTTCAGTTCAATAGTCTTGCAGAGGCTCTCTTTTGCCTACTGTGTGTAGTGTTTGGTCCCCAGCAGGGTTGGGGTATGTTTTAACAAGGTGTGCAATGGTCTGCTTGCAGAATGAGATCTACCCCCACAACCACCAGAACTGAGGTCTACAAAATGTGCAGATTGGGAGATGTGGTGTGCTCGCTTCGGCAGCACATATACTAAAATTGGGAGATGTGGTGTTGTCAGAGTTTATGCCTGTCTTCTGGAGGAGCTGCCAGTAGTGCTGGGACTAAGGGGAGTGTGACTGGGAAGGGCAGATCCACTGAAGTCCAGGGGGTACAGGGGACTTGGTGTAAGCAAGTTAGGTAACATGTTGATGCTGTCCTAGTTCCCACAGATGGCTGTTGTTTATGCTGAAGGGAGGGGAAGGGAAGTGGCCCCTGCCCGCACTGTGACTCTGAAGGGATCTCCCCATCATCCTTGTCTCTTACGGACACACTCTGGGTTGAGCAAATTACTGCCCCTCCTGTCTGTCCTTGGCATTTTTCAAACTGGTAGTTGTACACTGTATCTTCACAGGCTGTTTGTTATACTGTCTCTTTAAGGGCAGGGACTCCACTTCTTAACATCCTCTGAGCCAAGGTCACCAATTTTTTAAATTCCAGGGTTTAAGTCCCACCAGTTGTAAGAACTCAATGAAATGTGGCCCCTCTCTCAAAGGCAAATATTACGGGGATTCATCCTCCCCATTTCTGGGTTTCCTGGTGTGAAACTCTTGTTTTTCACCCTTTCTCCCCACCATGGACAGGTAGTCCATTCACTCTCAGACTGTCTTCACTCTTTCTTTTTCTCCATGTGTCCTCTCCTCTACTTTTAAGTTGTGGAGTTTATTCTGACAGTCTCCAGATAATTTTTTGGGCTATTCATACCGATATGTTATCTAGTTGTATCCATGGAATGGGGCAAACTCAGGGTCCCCCTAGTCTGCCATCTAATTACTATAGCTTTGTAATACAGTTTGAAGTCAGGGAGTGTGATGCCTCCAGCTTTGTTCTTCTTTCTCAATATTGCTTTGGCTATTTGAGATCTTTTGTGTTCTATACAAGTTTTAGGTTTATTCTATTTCTTTGAAAAATGCCATTGAAATTTTGATAGAGATTGCACTGATCTGTATATTGCTTTGGGTGGTATGGAAACTATAACAATATCAATTCTTCCATTCCATAAGAAAAGGATATCTTTCCATTTACTTGTATTTTCTATTTCTTTTGTTACTGTCTCGCAGTTTTTCTTTCTTTTTTTTAACTTTAGAGAGAGTGGGGGTGGAGAAGCAGAGAGGGAGAGAGAATCTTAAGCAGGCTCCACGTTCAAGACAGAGCCCAATACAGGGCTCAATCCCATGATCCTAGGATCTCGACCTGAGCCAAAATCAAGGGTCAGATGCTCAACCAACTGAGCTGCCCAGGCGCCCCTTGTAGTTTTTAATATGCAGGTCTTTCGCTTCCTTGGTTACGTTTATTCCTAGGTATTTTATTCTTTTTGATGCTATTGTAAATGGGATTGTTTTCTTAATTTCTTTGATAGTTCATTATTAGCATATAGAAATGGAACTGATTTTGTATCATGATTTTGTATCCAACTTTACTGAATTTATTAGCTCTAATAGTTTTTTGATGAAATGTTTAGATTTTTCTATATATATCATCATGTCATTTGCAAATGGTGGCAGTTTTAGTTTTCCTTTCAAATATGGATGCCTTTTCCTACCTAACTGCTCTAGCTAGGAATTCCAATAATACTATAGTGAAGCAAAGTGGCAAGAATGGGCATCCTTGTCTTATTCCTGATCTTACCATTTCGGGTACATAGAGTATGATGTTAGCTATAGGCTTGTCATACATGGCCTTTTTTAGGTTGAGATATATTCCCTCTATACTTGCTTTTTTGTGTTTTATCGTAAGTGGATATTGAATTTTGTCAAATGCTTTTCATGCATTGATTGAGATGATCATATGATTATTTCCTCGTTAAGGTGGCATATCAATTGACATTGAACCCTGGGTCCTCGCATCCCTGGAATAAATCCCACTTGATCATGGTGTATGATCATTTTAGTGTATTTTTCAATTCAGTTTGCTAATATTTTGATAATTTTTGCATCTGTATTTATTAGAGATATTAGCCTGTAATTTTCTTTTCTTGTGGCATCCTTGTCTGGTTTTGGTATCAGAGTAGTGCTGGCTTCATAAGTGTTTGGAAGAGTTCCCTCTTCTATTTTTTGGAAGAGTTTGAGAATGGTTGAGATTAATTCTTCTTTGAATGTTTGGCAGAATTCACCAGTGAGGCCATCTAGTCCTGGACTTTTGTTTGGAGGTTTTTGATTACTGATTTAATCTCCTTACTAGTAATCATTCTGTTCAGATTTTCTATTTCATCACAATTCAGTCTTGGTAGGTTGTATGTTTCTAGAAATGTATCCATTTCTTCTAGGTGGTCTAATTTGTTGGCATATAATTGTTCACAATAGTCTCTTATGATCTTTGTATTTCTGTGGTATCATTTTTTTTTTTTTAAAGCTCATTTGAGAGAGAATGAGCAGGGGAGGGGTTGAGAGAGAGGGAGATATAGAGAATCCCAAGCAGGCTCTGTACTGTCAGTGCAGAGCCCAATGTGGGGCTCGATCTAATGACCAGGAGATCATGACCAGAACAGAAATCAAGAGACTGACGCTTAACTAAGCCACCCAGGTGTCCCGTCTGTGGTATCAGTTCTAATAGCTCTTTGATTTCTAATTTTGAGTTCTCTCTCTTTTTCTTGGTGAGTCTAGCTAAAAGTTTGTCAATGTAGTTTATCTTTTTCAGTGAACCAGCCCTTACTTCCATTGATCTTTTCCACTGCCTTTTTAGACTCTATTTCACTTATTTATGCTTTGTTATAGCTTTCCTTCTAACTTTGGGCTTCATTTGTTCTTTTTTTATTTTCTTGAGGTATAGAGTTCAGCTGTTTTGATACACTTCCTGTTTCTTTCTTTTTTTTTTAATGTTTTTATTTATTTCTGAGAGAGACAGCAAGAGCAGGGGAGGGTCAGAGAGAGAGGAAGACACAGAATCTGAAACAGGTTCCAGGATCTGAGCTGTCAGCAAAGAGCCCGACGCGGGGCTTGAACCCACGAACTGTGAGATCATGACCTGAGCCGAAGTCGGCCACTTAACCGACTGTGCCACCCAGGTGCCCCACATTTCCTGTTTCTTGAGGCTGGCATTTATCACTAAGAATTTCTTACAATTGCTTTTGTTACATCCCATAAATTTTGCCATATTTGTTTTCATTTGTCTCAAGGTGTTTTTAAAT